GTGTTTCAGGGAGAATTTTAAACAGATTTTCGAAGGACATGGGCACGATGGACGAGTTGTTGCCTAAATCGATGTTAGAGGCACTCCAAGTGTGTTGCGTGGTGCTGGGTATAATGGTCATGGAAGCGATAATTAATCAATGGATGCTGATACTGATAGTGATATTAGCTGTTATATTTTTCTTCGCGACGAAGTTCTATTTGAAGACTGCTCAGGATGTCAAACGTCTCGAAGGCGTAAGTAAGTACTGAAACGAGTATCTCTTTATTATAAAAAATTGCGGTGCAGCTTAGATTCATAAATTCTAGATTCCTGAATTGTTTGACTTTTTACCATCGAATTTGGACCTTTTTAAGTTCTTATCTCTTTCGGAATCTAAGATCCATAAATTCCGGGAGTTTTCAAATTCGTGTTTGCGTTTTTAGCAAAAAGCCCATTATTCTCGCACGTGAATGCCACGCTGAATGGCCTTCCGACGATCAGAAGCAGCGGTGCCGGAATTGAGAAGATGATGCGAAAACAGTTCGACGTTTTGCAAGATCGTCATACCGGCACATGGTACCTCTTCTTAACATGCTCATCAACCTTTGGTGTCTTTTCGGATCTAATCATGTGTTTGTTCCTCGCTTGCCTTTGTTACTCTCTAATAGCGATGAATGAGAATGGTAAATTTCATTCATTAAAAAGTTCCTAGTTATTTTACAGTTAAATATTCTTCATGACTTTCTAAGGATACGATACCATGGTATAGTGGAGATACCGGAATATTTTTTATCAGCGAATATACAACAAAGCTTTTATACAACGAATTATAGCAGAATCAAATAATTCGACATTGTATTCCCCTTATTTTTACGTGTGATTAATATTTTAGAAAATATATACACATATATTTGGATATTCTTGAGAAATTTTCGAGCTATTGCAAATTTCTTTGTTGATCCTCATGCTACAGGCGACGTGGTCGACAGCAAGGCAGGTCTGGCGATATCGCAATCGTTGATCCTGATCGGTTGCCTGCAATACGGCATAAAACAGTCCACTGAGACGATGTCGTTGATGACCTCCGTGGAAAGGATTCTCCAGTATACGAATCTTCCAAAGGAAGAACTTATTACCTCGAACAATCCACCGCCGCCCACGTGGCCGTCCCAAGGAGAATTGATATTAAAGAATGTCAACATGAGGTATCACAAAGATGATCAACCGGTTTTGAAGGTAACCCGAACGATTTTTACAAATATCTCTTGTTCTTTATCTTGAGTTTCATCACGTAGTCGCACTTCGCAGAATCTGAACGTTTCCATCGAGCCTGGCTGGAAAGTTGGCGTGGTGGGACGAACTGGCGCCGGTAAGTCTTCCTTGATTTCGGCGCTCTTTCGCCTGTTCAACGAAGGTTTGGAGGGCGAGATCAAGCTCGACGGTCGGGACACAAGCACGGTGGGCCTGAGCGAGTTGCGCTGCAAGATCTCCATTATACCGCAGGAACCGGTACTGTTTTCCGAGAGTTTGCGTTACAATCTAGATCCGTTCAGTCAGTATGACGACATGAAGCTGTGGGAGGTGCTGCGGCAGGTTGAACTGAATGACGTCGCGCTGGATCACAATATTTTGTACGGTGGTCACAACTTCAGCGTTGGCCAGAGGCAACTGATATGCCTGGCCAGGGCCATTCTGAGGAATAATCGTTTGCTCGTTCTCGATGAGGCCACGGCCAACATTGATTCGCAGTGAGTTTCAATTCTTTAGTAGTAGAATTTAGAATAAATTGTGATTAGATATATTCTGTCTAAAGCCTAGTGATTTTGATTGATTGATTGATGGTTAATGAACAGGATTAAACTATCGTATAAACTGTTAAAAAATTTTTTTATTATTGAAATTATAAAGTTTCCAATTGATTCGGTATTTCCACATGTATAGGAAGGTACATTAAATATTTATATTGTATTCGTAATAAATCCAAGATTTTGGAAAAAGAATTTCTTTTTCAATTCAATTGGAATTTCAGACAGATTTCCGGCAAATATTTGTGATATGTTATGTTATCATAAACGTACAATTTTTGAATTTGACATATTTGCGAATTTACCTGCATAAATTTGTATCTTTGTTTCTAGCACCGATGCTTTAATTCAGGATACAATAAGAACCAATTTTAAAGAATGCACCGTCATCACGATAGCACATCGTTTGAATACCATTATAGACAGTGATCGTATCATCGTGATGGAGAACGGATCCATCGTGGTAAGTTTTTCCGTTTTAATAAATATTGAGTACGTTAAGAAAAATATCGATTTTAACAAACCCAACTAAAAGATTTGATTTTCTATACATCTATCTAAAAAACTTATTCATAATAATTCTAATGGTGTAATAAATTTAATCTCTAAAAAAATAACACTTATACATTTAAATAAAAAGATAATAGAATGACCATCATAAAATATATAGGTAATTAATTTAAAATTTTTAGATTTTTAATTCCAATTTCATTTTAACTTATTTAGAATTTTATTTCTAAATGTGTTGAAATTAAATTAAAATAATAAAGTTGTTGTTAAAAATACATTTAATTGTACAAAAATCTGAGATTTGCAAACAATTCTGTGTTATAAGTTACCACTTAGTTCCTCCGAAATCAATATCTCATTATATGAATAATATGTATTTCTTCCGGGAAAGAATAAATATTACATGTACAAAACAGTTTTTTTGGACTCTTGTAATTTTCGAAGAAAGAGATTTCCATTTGTTTATTTGATAGAAAATGTTCATGCCAACAGGAATTCGGTTGTCCGTACGAATTGTTACACGACAAACCAAACGGCTACTTTTCACAAATGGTGGAAAAAACGGGCAATCAGATGGCGCGAAGTCTTTTGGAACAGGCGAAGAAGGCTTGCGAGAAGAATAATGATCATCGCGAATTGAACTTGTCGACGCAAAATACCGAGAACGAGAGCGACGCAGTGGTCACAGAACAGTCCGCTTTATAGATTCTTTTACCAAAAAGATCTATACAAAAAATATATATATGAAATTTTATATATACAGTGACTTACGAAATTGATTAAATCGTACTATTATATGAATTTTTCTTTTAAAAATTCTCAAACAA